GATTTGCTGTATTCCTCTATAGCTGGCGGTATTCTGCATTGCGACGCTGTATAATGTACTATATTGCACACCACACTTTTTTTTTACTTCCACCGCTCCAAGCTTGCTCCCGTGATGGACTACAATCTCAATACAAACTAGTAGTCCATCACCGGAGCCTTTTAAAAAAAAAATCCGATTAATCGAACTTAATAATCGGCTAACTAATCAATTTTGAAAATAATCGTTAGCTGCAGCCCTACATATATATATATATACATATATATATATATATGGATCATACTACCCCCTGCCATACACTGCCTGCCTAGATATGTATTATCCTTCGGTGAGAAGTGCATAGAAAAGGTTACAAAAAGGTACCCAAAAATTAAAGTAACAAAGTATTATTTTTGCTCCCGGTGTTGGGTGGAACATATATGGATGGATCATACCATCACCTGCCATGCATTGCCTGCCTATAGAGTTATTATCCTTAGGTTGGAAGTGCATAGAAAAGGTTACAAAAAGCTACAAACAACACAAGTGAGAAAGTAGATAATGTTACCAAAAACGGGGGCCGTGCAATATTCACCTTGGCACGGACTAGACCCTTCTCTTCTGATCTTTCTCCTGTACATGATGCAATACCCTATTATTCTTACTGTCTATTCTCCTCACTGTCATTATCTATATCATTATCATTATCTATTTCTCTCTTCCATAATAGTAACACACGTTATGTTAGATGACCATCACATTCACTATAGGCATACAACTGTTATCCTTAATTCTAGTGTTAAAACATAACCCCGTAGAGTCATTAGTGGGGTGGACTAAATGTTACATTAAAAGCTATAAACACTTCCAGAAGTAACTCTGTATAATGTGTATTAGAGATTTATAAACAGGACTTACAATGGACAAATGTGGGAGAAAGAAGGTCCGGATGGTTTGGGCAACTTTTTCCCTTTGTCTTCCTCTTGATTAACTTTTTGTTCCTTTCCATAGAAGGTTACACTAATCTGACTCGAGTCCTCTTATAACCTAAGAACAAACCTATGTATGCTGTACGGAGGCTGAGACTGCTAACACTCACCTTGGATGATGAGCAATGTCAGGAGGACACGGATCACCTTCATGTTGGAAGACAGAGAGGATGGAACGGTTTTCTTTATTTTGTCTTGCGGAGACTGAAGAAGAATAAGAAGAAGGTGAAGAAGAAAAACGTATTTCCTGGTCATCACAGATTGTGGTTGAGAGTTCTGCCAAACAGTTCTCCTTTTTTTATAGTTGTA